TTTATGCTGTTGTCATTTATTTTACTTCTACATGTCATAAACCCCAAAATGCATTGTTTAATTTTTGCTGTAAACAGTTAACTTCTAAAGAAACCAAAAATGAGGAGAAACAGTCTTATACTTTCCCACTATATATATCATTTTCTTGAGTTTTTCAATCCTTCGTGTAGATCCAGATTTCAATCTGGTATCATTTTCCTTCTACCTGAAACACTTTCAGTATTTCTTAGAGAGGTTGCCTGCTGCACATAAATTATTTTAGCATTCATGTGTCTGAAGAAGTCTTTATTTCCCCTTCTTTTTTTCTAATTCAGGTATTATTGATAAACACTCTTATGAAGGTTTCACATGAAAAAACAATGTGGTTACTACATTTACCCATACTATCAAGTCCCCCCCACACCCCAATGCAGTCACTGTCCATCAGTGTAGTAAGATGCCACAGATTCACTATTTGTCTTCTCTGTGCTACACTGTTTTCCCCATGTTCCCCCACACCATGTGTGTCAATCATAATATCCCTCAATCCCCTTCTCTCTCCCTCCCCACCCTCCCCCACACACCCCTCCCCTTTGGTAACCACTAGTTCCTTCTTGGAGTTTCTGAGTCTGCTGCTATTTTGTTCCTTCAGTTTTGCTTCATTGTTAGACTCCACAAATAAGGGAAATCATTTGGCACTTGTCTTTCTCTGCCTGGCTTATTTCACTGAGCATAATGTCCTCCAGCTCCATCCATGTTGTTGCAAATGGTAGGATTTGTTTCTTTCTTATGGCTGAATAGTATTCCATTGTGTATATGTACCACCTCATCTTTATCCATTCATCTACTGGTGGACACTTAGATTGCTTACATATCTTGGCTATTGTAAAAAGTGCTGCGATAAACATAGGGGTGCATATGTCTTTTTGAATCTGAGAAGTTGTATTCTTTATATTTCCCCTTCTTTTTGAGAGAGATATTGCCACTGGGTATAGAATTCTATACATTGTTTCCAGTGAGAAATCCACTGTCATGCCTAAGCTTTGTTCAGTGTAGGTCTTTTTTATGTATTGTCTCTAATTCCATATTTAATGTTTAATGTTTCTGTGTACAAATCATCTGTGCACTTTCTGGGTCAGCTTCAAATGGCTGCTTTTTCTCACTATGAATAACATTTTCCTGATTCTTTGCATTTCTGGCAATTTTTTACTGAATGCCAGACCTTATTGGGTGCTATATACTTTTGGATCCTGTAATTATCTTGAACTCTGCTCTGGGATGCAAGTATGCTGATAACTGCCTACTTTGCACACTGCGATGCATACTTTCAAAGAGTATTATCACCTTGGATTTGCTTTTAAGTTTTATTAGGCAGAATAAAAGTAACATCTTACTCTCGGGCTAAGATAGCCCTATTATTAAGGCAAACCACTCTATACTCCACTCAGTACCCATGGAAATGAGATTTCTACTCTGCCTGCTGTGAAGGGGAGCTCTTCCAGCACCTGTGTGTCAGCACATCTTCCTTCTAATCCTTTTACGTGATTCTGCCCCAGGGCATTCGCTTACAAGCATGTGCATGTCAATATTCAGTTAAGACTTGAGGGCCCCTCTGCACATCCCCACAGATCCCCCTGTGCTGCTCTCTCTTCTCTGGCATTCTCCCCAGTGGGCTGTATGTAGCCACCTCGGCCTCCCCAGGCTGCCAGCTCTGTCTCCTCAACTCAGCAAACCACCAGGCTCTGCCTGAGTTTGCCCTCCTTGTGTCCCATCTGGAAACTCCTTCCAGGTAGTAATGTGGGCAAATTACAAGGCTCCCACATTAGTCTACTTTTCCAGGACCATTATAAAGGCAAATCCTGTACTTCTTGCTTATGAGAAGAAAACATCTTTCTTCATTTTTTTTTATTTTGGTATCATTAATCTGCAATTACATGAGCAATATTATGGTTACTAGACTCCCCCATCATCAAGTTATTTCTTGATTTTTTTAAACTTTTATTTTTTAACATACTGTTAATAAATTTTCTGCTCACAAATACAGTATCTTCTTCTGTATCATCTTCCATAAAAGTAACTAACATTCCCTTCTATAAAATATATCTTACTTTTTCAATTCCCCTAAAGGTAAGTCATTACTTTTAATTTCCGATAAGATGAACAACACTGTACCACATCACTACACACTTTCCTAGGGACAAACTCCTGGACTGGACTGCTAAGTCCAAAAGACAACCATCTAAAGCTTTGTGTTTTGCCAAATTGCCTTTTAAGAAGGTTGCACCACCTGACAAAAACCCTCAGTATTTTTAATGTTTGCCGGTTTGACAGGTGGAAACAGTCCTCATTTTTGTTTCAGTCCCTTTCCACTGATTACTAGTCGATTTGAACCTATCTCCATGGAAAGCACACAAAAAAAGTGGTAGTGGTTATGTTTCCTGGCCCAGGCATATCTCTTCCTTCCTAAACCACTATTCATGTTCTTTGCCTATTTTCCTCTTAGGATGATAGTCTTTTTCTTAATCATTTATAACTGCTCTTTACACAGGCTACTAAACCTTTGATATATACGCTGTAAATACTTTCCCCAAGCCGAATTTACTTTTGAGTTTAAGGCAGATTTGACATACTGAACTATGTTTCAATCAAAACAATTTTTCCCTTTATATCGTTAGCCTTCCTAAGCCTAAGAGTAAATGTTCTTTTTGTAGTAACGATTTCATTATTTTTACATCTAGGTAATTAACCTGACATTTGCCTTTCTTTGCGATATGAGGTAGAGACATATTTTCCCCCTAAACAGTCAGGTGGCTCAATAATCCATCATCTCCCTACCAATACAAAATGTTCTTTATTATGAATTCACACACACACTCCACTAACTTTCTCTCCTGTGCCTTCTTTAATGTCTGACAGCTGCTCTAACATCATGCACACCAGCTCTCGTCATTACTGATTTCAGATTTTCTTTGCAACATGCACGTATTCTTGCAGATGAACAAGTTAAAAAATACCACTACTAGAACTTTGATCAGGATCACTTTAAATTTCTGGACCAATTTAGAGAAAATTGAACTTTATTATAAAAAAATCTTCCCATCTAGGAAGGGAAGTAGTCACCTATACCTTTCAGGAAAGTCAACAGCATTCTTCATGTAGTTAATGCAATATTGCTTGTCAATTTCCTGAAATTTTGTATGTTGGTGCTACTATGTATTAAATCTTGAACCATGGTAGTTTCCAACTGATTTATGCCAATATTGAGGGAATCTATGGATTTCTGTATATTTTTATGTACCCAACCACCTTATCAAGGTACACTTGCTTGGATGAAGGTCCCTAGGTATTCCCAAGAAGAAACTTGTTAAAAACAAACCCAGACTTCACCCAAACAGAAAATACAATTGTGTTTGGGAAAGACAGCAGTAAGGTGGTTTTATTACTATATTTTTGACAAATTTTCCAGATGATTTCAATGCTCATCCATATTTAGGAACTAGTAGGTCAGACCATGAAATAGAGAACTAAAGTAGACTAATACTCCCAAGATACATGAAGTTTTAGATGACTTCCCACATCAAAAACACCAGAAGCTGCCACTGAAATAACCCCACTGGAGACAAGGTCAGTATATGACAGAAGCTACAGAAATGGACCAAAGACTTAGTTATATTCAAGGAGAGATCACAGGAAGTGCCAGCCATCAGGATTTCATAAAGCATTTTATGTACATAAAATGCCTACTTTAGTTCTACCCTCTGAAATCCCTGCAAAGTGAGGAGCGTATCTTAAAACAAACTTGTCCTCTGTCCAGATGAGACCAAAGATGAGCTCCCTGGGTCTGTAAGATACCCTCTCAGCAATGCCCTTTTGCAGAACAAGGAGTATGATGACCGTCAGCATCGCTCAGCGAAACAGAAGAGACACACTACTCAGAGAACCATTGACAGCTAGTATTTTTATTTAAGGTGCCAAACTTAACCACAAAACAATCTTGAAATATCTCAACATGCTTTACTAACAAGTAAATCTAAGCCAACATCCCATCAATTCCACTGAGAATTATCATGAAACAAAGGAAGCAGAAAGCATGAAGTTCTCTCAGTAACACTGTAATTTCTTCACATGTTGACAGATGGCAACTAACTTTATTAGGTGGTGAGCGTTTAGTATGTAACTGTCCAATCACTATGTTGCACATCTAAAACCAATATAATACTGTATGTGAACTATACTTCAATTAAAAAATTTTTAAAGGCACAAAGCACTCAAATTGAAAAACATCTTATCCGCTGGGTCCATAAGCTTTCAAAGTGAAACTGTTTATTCCACAGGAAAGAAAAAGAGAGAAGGACGGCACACATGCCCACCTGGGGAACAGAACTCAGGAATCATCAGTGCACCTGTCTGTCTCAGCCATTAGAAACAGGCCTAAAATACTTACCATCCACAGCTACTAGGAACAGTGTCAGAAAGACAGCCAAAAGCAAAGAGAATGAGAATTAGCGAAGAAGCTACAGAAGAAAGTGCCACTAGTTCACCCCAGAAGAAAGATCAGCACGAGAAGCAGACCGCCAATCAACTGCACGTGGCCCCATGAGTCCAGCGTGCAGACGAGCAGCAGCAGCAGCCGCCACGAGCAGCACGAAACTCCTCCAGGGCGAACAAACAGCAGCAAAGGGCCCAAGACAGGCACGTGAAAGCTAGGACAATAAGTCTCATGTTGGTCCAGTTACTACAACAATGTAAAAATATCAAACAGAAGATGATTTTTAAATGATTACAGTTACCGAGAGTGCTAATTAAATACAAACATGCTGTTCATTTATCATAATGGTTTTGACTGTGGCATGTAAGACTACAAAAGGAAACATTACTCATTATTGTGTCCGGATATCCTTGATATACAGCCAGAAATATGGGAAGAGTCTTTTAAACACTGTAAGACATCTGGGGATACCATTAAAAAATGAAAATATATGAAGTTTCTATTTTCACTAGAAAGTTCAAAGTGTACTTACCTGAGAGACTGTGCCACTATGTTTTCACATATTGTCAGACAATGATTCACACGGTCTTTCTTGGTGGCCGACAGTTCTTTCTTTCTGAAAGAAAGTAAAGGGAGAGGAAGTGAACATGCACTGAATTATCCCTTCCATTTATTTCTAACATCATTCATTCACTCAATAAACACGTCTTGACTAGCTCAGCCAAGGACTTTCTAAATTATTCTTCTCTATAGAAAAGTTTAAGTGATGTTACTAACGCACCTTATTTTTCTGACTTTAGAGAGGAGAAAGCGCAATGGCAGCAGGGACTTGCCCAAGGTCACAAGGATGGAAGGGGTATGCAATTCAATGAAATACAGGAAGATAATACCTACGCTGCATACCTTCCTTTCTCAGAATCACCTTGTTAACTGACTGCAGTCAGCATGCCACAGAGACTTCATGCTCTCTCTACAGCAGAAAATAAAGTATAAACAAGGCTTATCACTTCTACACCCCAAACAGCTAGAAACAAGCCTCCTGCTCCAGAGCCATTCTCAAAAGTCTCCTATTAAAACTTCGCAGTCAAAGAAATGGAGATAAACAGCCTGGTCAAGATCAGATCAAAGCTGCTTTCTTTCCCACTCAAATCTAGGGCTTTAGATGTCTTCACGGTAGGCACCATCCAAATAAGGTAAGAAAGGGATGGTCCATGAGGAAGTCAAAAAAATAAAGCACGCTTAAGATCCACCTCCAGAGAAGAACTGGAGTGGTTACTACATGGTACTAATGAACCAGGTAGCACTAGGTTTTTGAGAGAGTTCAATTACCAAAGACATAAAGAAACCTCACCTACAAACACCTGTGACTATTTAATCCCTATGCAACCCTCAGGCTCCAAAAAGTGCACCTGAAAGGAAGAGACCACTGCAGTTGTGCAAACCCAGTGAAGGCTCCAAAAGGCACTTCAGACACGGCCAGGGAAAAAACGGGCAGGAGGAACCTGCAAAAGGGTGACCTGTTAAGGGAAAGGACAGGGGTTCCAAGCTGAACTGCATGCAGCCTGAATGAGAAGCCTGGCCCAGGAGAACTGGAGAGGGAGCTTCCCACGGACTGCCCAGTTCCAATCCATCAGGAATGGACTGGTGGGTGCATGTTTTCCACTGGCCTCTTTTCCATATGGGACTTTTATTATTTAATTATATTGCAGAATGCTGGTCACCCACCAAAACACCATCCTTCCCTTCCTGGACACATGCCTCCTGGTTACAAGTTCCACTGCCCAGCTTCCCAACAGCTCAGGATAGATACAGAGGAGACAGGAACAGAACTAGAGATAGTTCTCACAGATGAAGTGGGAATGGAAGTAGAGAGCCTCCGCCTCATACCTAACACCCATGTTTTGACTATACAGATAAAGCCCATGAGAAGGCTCCAGAATGGAAGGAGCCCAGGCTGGAAGGAGAAACAGAGGGGAAGTAACAACCTCCCAAGCCACCCACTTCAAAAGCACCATGACGGAAACATGCTTCAGATGTCCTTCACTTGGCAAGTGGGTAAGTGACTTGCCAGTGGGTTTCAGCCCCGGGCAAGTTCGCTATGGATTCAGTGTGACCAAAGAAATTGACAGCAAAACGTTCTTGGGGTGAAAGGGTTATACCCAGGTTTATTTCCAGGTGGCAGGTCAGTCACTAGAATCCCGTCCGCTCAGAGCGAGTCTGAAGGCAGCAAGCCGGTCTCTGCCCCTGGGCCCCTCTGTCTGTCTGCACAGCCGTCCTCTGGGCCTCCGTCCTCGGCGCTGCCACCACTCCAGCTTCTGCTCTGCTCTCCTGCAGCCTTGAAGCCCTGCCACCGTGTCGTGCCCAGAACACTTGGTGGAGCTCTTTTTAGAGTCACATTGCCCACAGGTGTGCAGTGGGCTAGTCAACCAGGGCAAAGACCCCACCAAAAAAGAAAATTACAGACCAATATCCCTGATGAACACAGATGCAAAAATACTCAACAAAATATTAGCAAACCAAATTCAAAAATACATCAAAAGGATCATGCACCATGACCAAGTGGGATTCATCCCAGGGATGCAAGGATGGTACAACATTCGAAAATCCATCAGCATCATCCACCACAT